CCATGGATGACAAGGGATCAATATGGCCGGGAGAGAGAGAGAGAGAGAGAGAGAGAGAGAGAGAGAGAGAGAGAGAAAAGAGGAAGATATTTGAAGAAGATGTGTGTCCTGTTGCTATGGAGCACGCCTGCAGATAAACGTGCACACACACCTACACACCGCGCTCACTCTTACAGAAACTGGAGCAAATTGCACTTCTTTGAAAACAAAACGCCTGCACACACGGTCAGCGTGTACGTACGCTCCTCTTTAATTATTCCCCGTCCTGTAAAAGAAAACAAGGCGGAGCAGCCAACGCTGCGGAGCATCACAGTCACAATTAACTGCTCTCATTCTCTCTCCCCGTGTTTGTGTTCAGAGACCGCTCCGTAGCCGAGCTACTGTTTGCACGCACAGAGCACAGACGTGAACTCTCCTTTCCTCCCGTTAGGACCTTGTAAATGATGCCAGTCGGTTAATCAGATTCTCCCTCAGACACAGTTCAGCTCCTCACGAGAGTCGGAATGAATAAAATAGGTTATTCTTCCCCTGGATGGGAATAAAGCCGCGAAGAGCTGTTTTGCATATGTTCCACATTATGAACATGCTAATTGACTTTCTTTAGTTTTTCCCGCAGCCTTTTCAACCTCAGCTCTTTGTATTTAGCTTTACATCTACGGTAACAATAAATACCAAATATTGTTGTTCATGTTAGTTAAACTTTTCAATATTATTAATCACAAGGTAGCTGTGCATTAATCACGATTAATTGCGATAGTTCTGATCCTTTTTGAGTTAGTTGTATATATTATACATATATTATATTATATTATTTATATATGTGTCTTAACTGTGTTTCAGACAAAATGACATGTATTTGTCCTAAAAATTGGACAAAAGTTGAACTGACCCCATGACCTCATCAGAGATAGAAATGATTGTTGGTAGAAGACCGAACCGTCACTTGACCTTTTGGTGAACAGGTGTATTTGATTTATGAGAGTGCAATAATGTTCAGTCATGACAAACTATAGATTTCTCCTGGTTTCCATGTCAGTAAAGGTCAACTGTAACTGTGTTTGGACAGTAATCCAAGCAAATATACTGCGTAAACATTTCTAGGACTTTTTCCCCCTAAAGATCATTTTAATCAATCATTTAACACAACATTCATCATTTATAACTTCCACTCGTTGTAATACATTCAGTACATCGCAGCAACAGTTGACGACTGTCAAACTATTCCAGGGCATCGTACTTCACGGCCAAGTCTACTACACTGACCTGAAGTCAAACAAAAGTCTGAATCAATAAAGATCGCAGACGCAAACGTCTGGTCAGTGGCTGCGTGTAAACAGAGCGTGACGTCCGGCCCCCCCACCTCCCCTCCGCTCCCCCCACCTCCACTGCAACTCTTTGAAAATTAAACAGCCAGAAAGTGGGTAGTATTAACAGCCTGCTCTGCGCGTTCTTTTCACCCAAAAATCCCACTTCGGCCAAGTCCTGGGCTCCAGGAAGCTCAAAGTTAGATCAAGGAGAGATACAAGTCTGTGCTTGATGAATCGGCGCAGTCTTTTCAGGGTCCCGACAACCCCAGCTGACCTGCGGGTGTGTGTTTTTGACAAACAGGTGGAGGTTGTGTAAAGCTGATACGATCCTGCCACTGATGCACCGGTGTGAGAATGACTGGACGTTCTTCCCAAAGTGATAAATACTTGCAATAAAAAGGGATCTCAATCCGATGGAGTGAAGCCAGTGAAACGTGATGCAGCAAGTATCAGAGATAATTCACACTGTAGCATATTTGACATGAGGATCATTTTCATGGGTCACAGAAATAAAGCCCTTATTGACTCTGGGGCAAAGCTTGGATTTCAGACTTTAGATCAAATCCGTTCGTGCCGATATGTTTTTGCTTTAAATTTTAAGACCACAAAAGAAGAAATTAGAAGAGATTTCTAATTAGGCGTAGGCTTTTTATTATTTATATGACATTAGAGCGACAGTGGAAACCTGTCTCTGGAGATGCTGTAGATATGGGTTTGTAATATTTTGACTAGAAGTCTTAATAGGAGTTATTAAAAGAATTTGAATGCCTTCTCTGCAGAACCACACCAGCGCCCCCTAGCACAGGTTATAGGTGGCCAAAGGCTGACCAAGCCATTGTCCGCCTTTCGTTTTTTAAAATAAATTCTGATTAAATGGAACAAAACCAGGTGACTGAGAGGGAGGACCCTGGTACCACACCACATCTGGCCACCCCTGTGAAACATCCTAGCTGCGCCCCTGCTCCATCAAGATTCCTGCGGACAGTTGCCGTTATTTGGACTTATTTAGTTTCCGGAGCTCATCACAAACTCCTGACACTTCACTCCAGGCTCTCATTTCGTAGAGAAAACCAAGTGATGTTGAAGTTACTCCAGACGACCGACAACAGGTCAACGTTCCATCTGTTGCACAAAGTCAACTGTCAGCGTTTCCCGCACTGGTTACAATCTCACATCACTCACCTTGCGCAGAGGCAGCGACACCTTTCCGCAAAACCGTCAGTCATCCGCCGGTCGGCTAATCCGTTTGCGCAACTGTGCGGCGTAAAATCCGTCAAAAACGGGAATCTAACCAGGTCCTCGTTAACGCTGCAGTTCCCGTGGTGGACTTTTATTTATTTATTTGTTTTTTAAAATCTTCTTTTTTTAAATCCAACACCAAACTCGACCCGTTGCTCCGTCCGTGCACGCCGTGACGCGCGTGTGTCCTTTGGCGACTCCTCCTGCTCCGGAACGCGCAGAGAAACGGAGCTCTGTTGATCCTCCGAGACCCACTCCGATCAGCAGTGAAAAAGTGAGCTGTCCGAGGGTGAGGAGAAAAGGGAGAGAGGGAGGGAGAAAGTGTGAGCAGCCTTCCACAGACACGATGGATGGATGATGTATGGACGCAGGACTGACAGGCTGGATGAATGAAGGGCTGCAGACACGGGCTGTGATATTACACTGGGAGCTCGCTTTTGCAGAGGGAGTGAGTGGGAGCTCACTGGTCGAGTGAGTAGGTTTCCACACGGTGGAGGATCAGCTTACACAGAAATCATCACAGATGACCCGACTGTAAATGATACAAATGTTTGCGTTGGTTTCAATTCAAAGTCACTTCCAAGTCTCTTCCAAGGTTATATTTTAACTTTATAATCATTACTTTATGAAGCTCAAACTTAGATATTAAAACAAAATTAATATTATATATTGTATATAATGTGGAGTTATCCACACATTACTGTTTAATGACTTCAACTTAAAAAGTTATAGTACCACAGCCACCCCAAAATTATTTTAATTAGTTTAAAACAAAATCCACGAACAGACAGACATTAAGAAGTGACTTTATGTTGTTAATAGTCCAGAAAGCAAGGCGATGTAATGACACAGTGAACCACTAGAGGGCGAATGGCATCTTACTTTTCCACTTTTGTGAGGAAATTCCCAGCCAGTATATTTATGTTCACCTCCAAAAATATTTTTGTTTCACATTAGATCTGATGCAAGTGTTCAAGTGTCACTAGTTTGCATTTTCCCAGCATGCATTTGACACAGGACAATGTCATGTCCTGGACAGGTTGTCAAGGTTTTAGTTGTGATAATCCTACACCAAGGTCACCTAGAGTTCTAAGGAAATGATCAGAATATGAAAATCACGGACTCCTTCAGTGTACCTGTAATCTATGTCCACACACTTCACTAAGTATCTGCACTGGTCCAAACCTTTGAGGACATGATCAATATATAAATATTTTTACTATTGGAAACTAGAAAAAAACAAAATCCTAAATTACTTCTTCAAGCCAAGCTGAAAGAAGATAATAACTGATGGACTTCTTGTGAAACTCCAACATACAGTATTCTTTTGAATTCGACTGGTCCTTGTTGTACTTTTGTGTACTACTGCTCGTTGACCTTTATTTCAGGAAAAACATTTCCGAGGACTCGGAACAAATAAAGGGCATACATTTTCAATGTTTTGCCCAAACTTTCCAAAGCAGCCATAATGCTTTCAACCTTTGAAATATAGATCTTTTTCTCTCTCTGTGATTACCCACAGTCCTTTGGAAACGCCACATTTTCTCACCAGTGTATGGATGTGCATTTATTCCAGGAGAATTCACGCCCATTACACGCTTTCAAAGTCTGTGACAGCGGTCCTCGACGAGGAAGCCAAACACTTCACAGTTCATACAATGTACTCTGGCAGACACGGGCACACACACACACACACACACGTACACACACACACAGCGTCGGTGGGTCCTAATACACACAACTTACTGACACAATACACATTGACAAGATGAAAGGGCCAATTTATCAAACCAGCAGCCGGAGCGGGCCTGAGGAGGTGAAGTGCCAGCGTGGGTCTGGTGGAGAAACGGTGCATGATGTGCCTGTGGTCCAAGTGTGTTCAACATTGTTTCACTCTCTTTTATATATATATATATTTCCCTTTCGTTGACACTGAAGAATTCCTTCTGTCATATCAGACCTTCAGGCTAAATTTACTCTCAGTTATTGTGCGGTGCCTCAGCGTATGGTCTTGAACAGTTAATCGTGGTTAATTGAGATGAATTAACATTCTAGATGTGCTTTTTTTCCCCTGTATTTAGTTGGCAGGGGTGGACAGATACCAGCAGGTAGATGTTTGTGTTTTCCACCTGATTTTGTCTGTGACTAATCCCCATTGTTGAAATATAAATATTGAAAAATGTCAAGGAAAATGTATCTATAGAGTTGGTGGCTTTTAGTTATTGTGTATTTTGGATGATGGTTTGTAAAATGCATCAATGCTGTAGTTTCCTTCTAAACTTTAGTGAAGCTGTTGGTGAATCAGAGAAATTTAAACAGATAGATCTTTTTTTTTTTTTTACTTCTTCTTCTTCTCATGCTAACTCCCTCGCTGAAGGCGCGTTTATATTTAGATCAGCACCGCGGCGTGTGTCTATGTGAGAGTGAGAACATTTCAAACCTTCTCAGTCTGCTGATATTGTGATGTCGGCTTCAGAACAGTAAGTGCATCTGTTGGCTCTTGGCTGCAGGGATCCTGGCCTGGTCTCAGTGATTCTGCTCCAAGGTCCCAGGGCAGCCTGGCGGCGCTGCCAGTTGGTGGCGAGTGTGAGCCAGACTGAGACAATAGTTTCTGTTACTGTAATTATGAATTTAAAAAAAAAAAGAAGATATTTATAAAAGGCTGTTGAAAAGATAAACCAAACTTGTCAGTGTTGTTTGAGTTTGTCTCCAGAGATTGTCAGGACACAAAGTCGACCCCCGAGTGTGTGACCTGCTTGGCGTGTGGACCACAAGGGCAGACAGACCAGTACAGATCTGCTGTCTCTCTGTAATGAAGTGTTTATTGGTAACAGGTGAAGATGTTCCAGATTTGATATCAGGAGCATCAGCAGCTCTGCCACATTTCAAAACTCAGATCACTTACAAACAGATGTGTAAATATAGAGATCCCACACTCACCTCCAGGAGTCTACACCAGTAAATCACAGTAACCGTCATGTTGTCACCACTCGGAACAGCAGAGGATAACGGACGAGCACGGAGAACAAATATTCTGCAGGCTCAACTCGTACTCCCTCCTTAGTGTCTGAAACCGAGACTAATATTTTTCTTTTTTGTGTAAACCTAAGACAACAAATGATTTATTAGGAGAATACAATTCTCTCAATTTCTTTATTTTTCAAAAAGGAAACCAATGACGACCGTGACATTGTGCGACCTCAAACCAGAGGGGGCGGCTGTGAGAGGTATTTATGGCGAGGTGACAGACGTATCTGTGTCGTCTTCACTGTAAAAACGTGACACTTCGCCATCAGATGTCTGGAGATGTATTTTTATACAAACAACACCTGCAGCCCTGTAATATGCATGAGATTCTGTCTGGTGTCAGTGAGACGAGGAGTCGGCTTGGGTGATGTGTTGAACTGATGTCACAGTATGTGTGTGAGGGGTGACGGTTGAGAGGTGGGGGTGGGGGGGGGTCTGCTCAGTTTTATTACCTTTGGACGGGTGGAGTAACGTGTTTGGCTGGTGTTTAAAACATTAAACAGTTTTATATATATATTATTCCAGTCAGATTAAACAATTGATTTGTAAAAAATATATATATATTTTTATTTTATGAATATATAGTCTCCCTGAGAACGTTCCACCTGAATGCGCTCATGTACTACTGAGTGAAATAAATATGTAAAGCTGTTAAAATTTCTTCAATATTTAAAAAAATTATCTACACCTGAAAACAAACCTAATTTGTACTACTGAGTGAAATAAATATGTAAAACTGTTAAAATGTCTTCAATATTTAAAAAAAATTCTTCTACACAACATTATGAAAACAAACCTAATTCTTTTAGCCAATTAAAAACGACCGTTTTAATCAGTGTTTAATTAATGCAATGACTATTAAACGTGGACCCATGTGAAGTAGACTGCTGTTCGGTCTCCACCTGTCAGCTGTCGCCATCTATAGGAACTATGGACACAGTGCAGTTTCCATTACAGTACTGTACAAGCCTACCCATAAAGTAGCAGCAGTATCTGCCATTTTTACTTTGAAAGTATTTTCAAAAGAACATTCATTAACGCAGTATTGAACTAAAGGTCTTGAGAATAGTTTTTGTAGCAGTAACTGGGAGGGAGCTTATTTCCTCACATTTACTCCACTTTCATGCATACTGTACCTTTAAGAACATAACATGAGGTTTTAGTTTTTCCAATCTTCATAAAGTATAATCTATATATCAAAATAAGAGACGTACGTATACCCACCTCAGCAGATGTGACGGTCACCGTTTGGTTGTTGCATGGTAATAGACGCAAGATGGCGCTAACGCACTTCATTTTCACTCAGCATTCGGGACGTGGGGTGATCGGAGATGCGTGTATATATGTGACAAACAAGGAGAGAGTGGAGGAGAGGAGACCCCGGTAATGCTTTATGACAGGAAATTAGCTGAGAGCGTCCATTAAAGCGACATTAATTGAATTTATGGCAAATTGAGTTTTCACACTGCGACTGCATTCTCTCTCCTGAACTCACTTGGAGTTGATTTACTCTATCTGTTCCGCCTGGCTGCCCATAATTAGATCCAAATGACTCAGTCCTCATTACAGACGTCTCCCTGGAATTTAAATATGTGACTCCGTGTGTGTGTGTGTGTGTGAGAGAGAGAGATTGTGAGTGTGTGTGTGTGTGTGTGTGGATCTGCACACACATGCACAGGTCTGGGAGGTCCTTATTGATGCTAGATTACATCTGCGTGTACATTCCATACATGTCCCTTTAAGTTAGTGCTTTTTTCATGGCAGTTGATCCACAGTCGGCTCTTAAGGTTCTGACTTTAACTTATCCTGTGTGTGTGTGTGTGTGTGTGTGTGGGTCTGTAGGTATTCCTGGTCCTTGAATCCCAGCCTTCTCTCATTCTCTGCAGCGTTCCCATCAAAAGTATTCTCTTTCCAGAGTTAGACTTTTCTGCTGGTCACAGGTGTATTAACCTGTATTAATATTACCATTAAATTAATTCTGTTAACAGGTGTATTAACCTGTATTAATATTAGCATTAAATTAATTCTGTTTTAATTTATAAACATTAGGTTCAGCCCATGACCAAATGATTCAAGGATCAACTTAATTATTTCTTCTTCTTTTCCTGCTTCCTCTTCCTCTTTCTCATCTTCTTCCTTGCCTCCTTAGTCTTACACTTCTTTCCTATCACCTTCATCCTCCTCTTCCTCTTAAATATATACCTCTTCCTTATTACTGACCCACTCTTCCTCCTTTGTCTCCATCTCCATTAACCTCTGCTCCTTCTTCTTCCACCTACTGTCCATTACAGCAGGCCACTGCACCACTGACGTGTTATTTTTCTTCTTCTTTTTCATCTAAACATACTTCCCTCTGGAGTCCAGCCAACACGACAGAACTCCCGTTCCCGTTGGTGAAAATGAGTATAAAACATTTACAGTCGGTTGCCGTCACGACCGTGCGTGCGTGAGGCCGTGATGTGTTCATTTAAGATTTAGTGCGTGATCGTGTGTGTTCTTGCATGGTAGATGTATGGTAAAGTTGTTTTGACGTGTGCTTCAAACTCGCCGCTATCCCACTGTTCCCAGGGCACAGAAGATTATGAGATTATAGAAGTGGTTGAGGGTCTACCTGGGGCCCAGACCAGAACTCCCAGGGGCCCCACTATGGAGTATGTGTTTTTTAAAGAAAAGGTTTAAATTGGAACGGTATAGTGGGAAAGACGAGAGAAGAGAACCACCCACA